GAGACTATTTATACACATATATGTATGTATGTGTGTATGAAATATGGGTAATATGGTTAATATGATTTAATAACGTTTCCTGTGAAGGTTCAGTTCAGGCAGTAATGGTAAACGAACCCCCACACATGAATGATTCCACCTCTCGGTTTCAGATGTTTATGCAAATGAGGAGCTCAGAGTCTTCGTCCTCCCGTTATTGAAATGTGGTGTGAGTTTTGAATAGATAATCAGATCGCTCTTTGGGCCGGCGCTCTTCGGGCCGGCGCTCTGTGTTTGTTCTGGACTGAGGGATGCAAATCCTCCTCTGTGTCTCTGCTGGAACGTTTCCGTGCTGCTGTTAGCGATGGCCTTTGTGTGAGAGGGTTATGTAACGGCTGTCCACTCTGAACACTCTTACTTCTTCAGTGTCACAGGTGACGCTGCTCCTGCAGGAGAGCTGGGTTGCCAGATTGATTTGAAATGATTGTTGTATTTACAATTAGTAAGCATAGAAATGTAGTGTAGGCGCTGACCTCACCTCGGAACAGCCTCGTCGCTGGAGTCCAGGGAATGACGAGAAGGGATCCTCGTTTGTGAGGATCCTCATTTTTTCGACTTCGTAGATTATCCCGAGTAATATCAGCGAGCCTGATAAATGATTACAGCTGATTAATGCTTCAGCACATCCCACCCTCTGAATAATTCATTTTAAATAATTCATAATAAGGCTGCTGAATGGAGCTCGAGCTTGGATAGGAAACTCCCAGTGACGTACTGAGAAAATCATTACTGCAGTCATTGGAATCTATAAAAAACAATAAACCTTTATTGTCCAGATTATTAACCAGATTTATGGTCCAGCTTTCATTCAGGAGCAGCTGGTGTTCTCATTTCTCTTTTTTACCAGCCTGAATCAACTTATTCATCAGTTTCTTATAGGAGTTTTCCGTTCCACCTGAAATGGTGCAGCAGTTACCCTAAATGGTGTACAAGTGTGTAACTTCCAGCACCATTTAAGGTGGAACAGAAAATCTGCGTAAGAAGCTGTAAAAAGAAACATCAGCATTCTGTGAAATTATGTTTTTATGTTTGTTGTTTTGTTTTTGCTCCTCGTACCGTTTTAATCCTTGTTCGTTGCGACCCTGATCACGAAGAAAGTTCGGTTTTGTGTAGCTTTGTGTTTTTTTTGTGATCAATATTTTATTAACAAGTAAACAGAACAGAAGAACTATGTTCATAAAAGCCCAAGACATTCCCAGAGGGTAATAGATGTAGAGTTAATGGTTAATATTAGATAACAATGATGGTAACATTAATGGTGGTAGTGGTGAAGGTCAGTAGTGCACTCACACAAGAGCAGAAGACATACGTATTAAAGCATGCATAAATAAATGGATGACTGAATGAATGAATGAACTCAATGTACTGGAGTTCCACACTCATATCAGTTAACAAAGGTCGCTGTGCTCTCGTTATTTTTAACACTTCTTTCTCAGTGTTTGACACAGTTGTTCTTATGTTGGCCTTATTCCTGTTGTACATTCCAATAGCATGCAGGTTTCTGTCAGCGCCTGGTGAGCATTGTTGGCATATCATAAACAAACACGCTCCACTCAAACGCAACATGCCTCCGTCGAACTGCCCCTTGAGCCACTTACGAAAAACACAGAGTCGACAGTCAAAGAGTCGACACGACTCTCAGACGTGCTGGAGTCGAAGAATCGGAAGCTGCAGTCGTGCTTTAGACTGTGTTTTCTAAACCTGTCCTGTCACTGAAACTGACGACATGCTCGACTCAATCACCTCCAACTCGACTCTATTAGGGGTTTTAGCGTGGCTCTTCTGGAAGGGTCTGAATTTGAAGTCTTTATCTCGGGATTATTAAAGCAGCCTGTTAGCATTTTAGCTACCTGCTGGATTCATCTAGTGAGGAAAGAATGTAGTTCAGTTGTAGAGGATTAAAGTGTGAACAGGTTAAGTCTTTTAACAGCAACTGATTCTTTTCTCTTTGATTTATTGCACTGATTCTTTTCTCTTTTGATTCATTGTACTGATTCTTCTCCATTTGAGTCATTGTACTGATTCTTTCTCTTTGATTCATTGTACTGATTCTTCTCCATTTGAGTCATTGTACTGATTCTTTCTCTTTGAGTCATTGTACTGATTCTTTTCTCTTTTGATCCATTGCACTGATTCTTCTCTATTTGAGTCATTGTACTGATTCTTTTCTTATCAGTTTATTGTGCTGATTCTTTTCTGTCCAGTTCACTGCGCTGCCCTTTACCCTCTCTGGGTTCCTCCTCTCTTTTGAGGGGTCACTGGTCTCTGTTGCTGTGACCTTTGACCCCTCTTCTTTTATACTGTCCTGTGTAGAGGGAGCTCTGCTGTTCACACAGTGATCCTTAAACATTTGAATAAAATTCACGTTTGCCTGAGCTGTAGATGTTTTGATAAATACCTGTTTTGTTCTGCTGTTTTTTCACATGTTGATTTAAACAGGTCAGAGCACAACTCAGCGATTAATTATTGTGTGATATTAGAGTTCATGGTTCTATATTAAGAGAGTACAAGTGTACATTACTGGGCAAAAAAATGGGCCGAGCCCAAAATGGCAAATATTAAGCTTTTAATGGTCTTAACAACAAGTTATTAAACCGATAGCTGCAGTAAGTCAGCGTGGAGAGCTTTTCACTCTGATTTCTTTAAATGTTGAAGTTTTGTGTGTAAATTTGCAGACAGTCTTTTACAGAAAGAAGAGTCAGTATTGATCCACTCAGCACTGACGGCTTCAAACAGCTGAAGAACATCGCAGAGCTAGTTTGTGTTTAATAAGAGACCAAATATTCTCTGTAGGGTTTAAATCTGGACTCTGACCGGCCAAAACCGGCAGTAACAACCCTTATATTTTAGGTTTGGCACATTTTTTTTGCCTAAGAGTGTAATAATGATGCATGTAGCACTTTTCATAGTAGTTACAAAAGAAACAGGATATAAGCAAAACATTGAAAAGATGAAAACATAGAGTTTAACATATACATTAAATATAAAATGTGCCCTAACACTTACATTGGCCACACTTTATGTTTATTTTTCAATACGTTCAATACAAATCATGTAATCTGGCCAGAGGTGCCCAAACTTTTGCATGCAACTGTGCATTAACTAATCCTGAGTGCTGCCAGCACGTATTAATTCACACTGTTCACGTTCATTTAGCCTAAATGCTTGTACTAATTCATGCTGCACGTTTTAAAGGCCTCATATAATTGAAAACAACCTTTTCCTCACTTTTATGGAATAATAGGGTTTAATGCAGCATGCAGACATTGTTAAAGGTGCAAAGTGTATAATTCACTCTCATAGAAACGAACCTGAAGGCCTGGTTTGAATGCAACATTTCTGTGAAGTCATGAAAAAATAAATCCTTTACATACATGCCCCTATTCAGTCTACCTCAGTTTAGCTCCACCCACTCACACTGAAGTTAAAAGGATTGTTTCAGCCTGGACTGCTTTCTGAATGAGGCAGCCAATCACAGCAGAGCTCATTTACATATGCATCTCAAAGGCACAGTAACAAGAACAGCCTGTTTAATTGTAGAATAAAGACAGGCTGGAAAATGATGTATGAATGAATTATTGTTAACGTTATACGTGGACGTCAGGGGAATAATATGTTTATACCTGGTGAGTATAAATTCATACTGATTGTGTTGATTCATACCGAGTGTGTACTGTGTGTGTTTCAGCACGGCTCGGCTGGGCTCGGCCCCCCTCTCATCATGTGCACCCAGCCGTACCCGGAGTGCCCGCTGTACCCGGGTGAGGGTCCGACCGGCCGGGACACACACGAGTCCGACATGGACAGCGGAGCGGCGTCCGAGACGTCTGAGGGCGGTCGCCATGACGACAAAGAGGAAGGCCTGGGAGGATTGTTTCTACCTGGAAGCAAGTCAGTGTCCCCGGAGGCTTTGATTCATTTTTTACTGATTCGTTTCTCACTGATTCATTCTTTTCTCTTTGGTTCATTGGACTGATTCTTTTCTCATCACTTGATTGTGCTTTTCTTTTCTGCTTGGTCTACTGCGGTGCCCTTTACCCTCTCTGGACTCCTTCTCTGTTCTGAGGGGTATTCCGGGGGGGTGGGGTTTAAAGTTTAATATATCAGTCTTATAATGGTCATTATATCAAACAGCTTGCGAAAATCCCTCAGTTGAGTGTTCGGCTGCTACTTAGTTTTGAACTGTATTACAACTAAAACACAACCGCAATGCACTTTAAACTATACTTGTGCTTAATACACTTAAAGAGGAACTCCACTGATTTCTCAAAATTCCTGCATAATCAAGTGATTAAGATGTAAACAGAGTCAATCAGAGTCAATCAGAGTCGTTCAGAGTGGTTCAGAGTGGTTTGGTGTGAAACGTTCTGTTCTAGAGAAACTTAGTCAGAATTGTTCACAGTGGTGGTGATAGGAACCAGACGTCCACCTCTAAAAGCTCCCTCACACAAAGTTACTACATGAAATGGTTATGAATTCACTGCCTGATGACTGAGACACTGTTTTATGATAGTTTTGAGAAGATTTTGGCCTTGAACTCCATTCATGGTGGAGGGATATGTAATATACAGGGTGTTGTGAGGCAAAATAGTCCCCAAAGAAAACTTATTATTTCAGATTTTCCACTATTTTCCATCATCAACATTCCGTATAAACTCAGAAGACTCGTGTAGTTTGATTAAACTTGACCAGAAGTACAGCTACTGAGTTTAGCTGTGCTAATGTACTTTAGTCCATGTTTATAGAGAACAGTGAGTCATACAGAGTCAGAAACCACAGAATCAGGTATATTAGAGATACTGAACAACTGCATACGGTTTAAGGCAGTTAGCATCATGCTAGTTGGAGGGGTTATAGCTTAGATATCCATACATGGATAAAATAAAACAAATAGTGTGAGTTCTCGTTTAAAATCAGTGTTAACTTCCAAATTTGTTAATTGTAATTGTCAGATATTTCTGAATGCTGCTGATTATTTAAAGCTGCACTATGTAAGATGTTTCATAATAAAACTGTAAGAAGTGTCATTACTGAGTGAGGAGAACAAAAACAGGCTAAAATATGCCCTGAAATAATTATTTAAAAGTCAGAGGCGTCGAGTTTTTCATACCACGTCGTACGTCTTTATGTATTAACGTCACACACAGACTCAAAAAGAAGGTCCGGCTCGATGTTTCGGCCTGATATGATCTCTAAATCAACACTATACTGATGAAGATATGAAGACAGTACTAGATAATTCACTCACGTGGTTCCTGCAGTAAAAGTCTGCTGGTGTTTGTGCAGCTCCTGTCAGCTGGTCCCGTCGGCCACAGCCTCCGTGATTTCGGCTGAGGAGCAGTTTGAGGATTATGGAGAGGGGGAGGATGTGGATTTTACTCCCAGCAGCCCCTGCCCCGACGACGACACGCGAACCAACGGCTTCTCAGACCTCGGCTCATCACTGCCCTCTAGGTTACTGACCACACCACACGTTTACGTTTACATTTACAGTAGAGGTGCAAAAACGCATCATTATGCATTGATCTAATGAACGGGATTAAACTGCATCCAGTCTGGAATTAGAATTTTAGAGTCAGGTATAGTTTTATTAAATAACCTTCAAGTACATTTTTTGTCTGAAACAGAATTCCAATAAATAAAAAATATTTTTTTTGTCTTCTACTTGAAAAATGTATCCTTATACTAGAGCAAGTAGGTCAGAGTCTAAATATACAACACCACTAAATCACAGCTGCAAACAGGAAACACCTACCTTGTGCTACCACTTACTGGCCACTTTATTAGAAACACCTACCTTGTGCTACCACTTACTGGCCACTTTATTAGAAACACCCACCTTGTGCTTCCACTTACTGGCCACTTTATTAGAAACACCCACCTTGTGCTGCCACTAACTGGCCACTTTATTAGAAACACCTACCTTGTGCTGCCACTAACTGGCCACTTTATTAGAAACACCTACCTTGTGCTGCCACTAACTGGCCACTTTATTAGAAACACCTACCTTGTGCTACCACTAACTGGCCACTTTATTAGAAACACCCACCTTGTGCTGCCACTAACTGGCCACTTTATTAGAAACACCTACCTTGTGCTGCCACTAACTGGCCACTTTATTAGAAACACCTACCTTGTGCTGCCACTAACTGGCCACTTTATTAGAAACACCTACCTTGTGCTGCCACTAACTGGCCACTTTATTAGAAACACCTACCTTGTGCTTCCATTCACTGGCCACTTTATTAGAAACACCCACCTTGTGCTTCCATTCACTGGCCACTTTATTAGAAACACCCACCTTGTGCTTCCATTCACTGGCCACTTTATTAGAAACACCTACCTTGTGCTTCCACTATCTGGCCACTTTATTAGAAACACCTACCTTGTGCTTCCACTATCTGGCCACTTTATTAGAAACACCCACCTTGTGCTTCCACTATCTGGCTACTTTATTAGAAACACCTACCTTGTATTTCCACTAACTGGCCACTTTGTTAGAAACACCTACCTTGTATTTCCACTAACTGGCCACTTTATTAGAAACACCTACCTTGTATTTCCACTAACTGGCCACTTTATTAGAAACACCTACCTTGTATTTCAACTAACTGGCCACTTTATTAGAAACACCCACCTTGTGCTTCCACTAACTGGCCACTTTATTAGAAACACCTACCTTGTATTTCCACTAACTGGCCACTTTATTAGAAACACCTACCTTGTTTTTTCACTCACTGGCCACTTTATTAGCCGTGTGTGTGATCAGTGGTTCTGTTTTTGGCACCGTAGTGCCGGTCAGACTCCTCAGAAGATCAGGCACCTGTACAACAGCGAGCTGCTGGACGTCTACTGCTCACAGTGCTGTAAAAAAGTCAACCTGCTCAACGACCTGGAGGCCCGGCTAAAGAACCTAAAGGCTAACAGGTGAGGCTGACCACTTGATTCACATTCATTCAGAGAGGTTTGAGATTTTCTGCCGGTCTGATAGATTTTCTTATTATTTGTCTTTTATATTTTCATATTAAGACCACATACAACGATTCACAGTTCTGTCTTTCTGTCTATATTGATATGACCATACAGTTGATTTCTGTATGTATTAATTAAGTTTTTCATGGAAAAGTCATTGACTGTTATGCTGCTTGGCAGCCATAGCCTATTAACCACATCGCTTGTTGGCATAATTGTTTGTGTGTCTGTTAACAGTAAATTAAAGGACTTGGTGTATTTTATCGTGTGGTGGTCTGTCAGTGTTGTATAAAAGCTCCTTACTTTTGGTAAAATGGTAAAATCACTGTAATGCATGGCCTCTTATGGGTTATTGCTTTATTGTAAAGCTTTTTGTAAATATGATACATCAAAAAGAAAAATCTGTCATACTTGGCAGATTCATCAGGTTGACTAATTGTAGCCCTATTTCAGTCTCCTCACCCCCCCCCACACCACACACACACTATCCCACCCTCCCCACCGCAGCAGCCATTAGTCTCATGGAAAGCTGTGCGTCGTGTCTGAAGTGTTGTTGTTCCGTCCTCTCTGTGTCTCGGAGCAGCGCGGCGGTTCTCCGTGTCGGGGTGTCTGCTCAAAGCTGGATTTATTTTGATGATTCTCTTTAATCACCCCACTCTGAGCCTTTATCCGGGGGAGGGTCTCTGTCGCCATAGCAACGCCGTATCTGTCAAAGGCTTCGGGGGATCTTTTAGCTCCCCGTTGCAGAAAGAAGAGACACTGAGACTAAAATTAGCCGAGCGAACACACGGGCGCGGGCGGGGAGGAGGCGGGACGGGGGCCGGCAGGAAAACCATCTGAACTTCCAAAAAAGATCTTTTTAAGTGGAGTTCAGCTTCTTCAGTTCAGTCTGATTTAGATGGAGCCGTATCGAACTACAGCTCACAGTATCTGATCCTGAAGAGACTCGACTTTACTAGTTTGTTCAGATTCAGACTAAATTTCTCTAATGTTAGTCTTCAGTGTGGTCAGTTTCTCTAAATGTAGATATTGTGATATAAACTGAGTCTGTTCTACAGTTTCTCATTAGGCTGAATGAATAACCGACTCTAAATGTAGGTATTGTGATATAAACTGAGTCAGTTCTACAGTTTCTCATTAGGCTGAATGAATAACCGACTCTAAATGTAGGTATTGTGATATAAACTGAGTCAGTTCTACAGTTTCTCATTAGGCTGAATGAATAACCGACTCTAAATGTAGGTATTGTGATATAAACTGAGTCTGTTCTACAGTTTCTCATTAGGCTGAATGTATAACCGACTCTAAATGTAGGTATTGTGATATAAACTGAGTCTGTTCTACAGTTTCTCATTAGGCTGAATGTATAACTGACTCTAAATGTAGGTATTGTGATATAAACCGAGTCTGTTCTACAATTTCTCATTAGGCTGAATGTATAACTGACTCTAAATGTAGGTATTGTGATATAAACTGAGTCTGTTCTACAATTTCTCATTAGGCTGAATGTATAACCGACTCTAAATGTAGGTATTGTGATATAAACCGAGTCTGTTCTACAGTTTCTCATTAGGCTGAATGTATAACTGACTCTAAATGTAGGTATTGTGATATAAACTGAGTCTGTTCTACAGTTTCTCATTAGGCTGAATGAATAACCGACTCTAAATGTAGGTATTGTGATATAAACTGAGTCTGTTCTACAGTTTCTCATTAGGCTGAATGAATAACCGACTCTAAATGTAGGTATTGTGATATAAACTGAGTCTGTTCTACAGTTTCTCATTAGGCTGAATGAATAACCGACTCTAAATGTAGGTATTGTGATATAAACTGAGTCTGTTCTACAGTTTCTCATTAGGCTGAATGAATAACTGACTCTAAATGTAGGTATTGTGATATAAACTGAGTCTGTTCTACAGTTTCTCATTAGGCTGAATGAATAACTGACTCTAAATGTAGGTATTGTGATATAAACTGAGTCTGTTCTACAGTTTCTCATTAGGCTGAATGAATAACCGACTCTAAATGTAGGTATTGTGATATAAACTGAGTCTGTTCTACAGTTTCTCATTAGGCTGAATGTATAACTGACTCTAAATGTAGGTATTGTGATATGAATGGTTTCTCATTAGGCTGAATGTGATTTGTTCTGTTTTTATGCTGTAGGTGGTTCAGATGGTGCTGTGGGTTCACTGAGAGTTGAGTAATTTCCTGCTCTGCTGGGTCTATAGGTGTGATGAGGAAGTGGGATCATATTAAATCCCACGTCCGTCCACCATTAATCCTCCCACACTGCCGGACTAACGCTGCACTGCGGACTCAGCTCAGTCCATCCATTCATGCTAATGTAAAAAATAGCAGCGGTTCTAGCAGCGGTTCTAGCAGCGCGGTTCTAACCTCAGAATCCACAGAACGCAGGAATGAGGTTTCAAAGGTGCTCAGAAATCTTAACGTGACTGAGCAGCAGAGACATGTTTGGTGTCTGAGGTTTTAGCCCTGGAGCTTTGAGGCTAATGTAGCTAACAGGCACTGCTAATAAGTAAAAATTAAATCATCACATGGTATGTGCCGGACGTATGAGGGTCATTCCGGGTGTCCACTCGGGCGTCAGTTGCCATTTCTGGGTTCTCACTTCTGTCTCTGTTAGCAGGTAATTTCAGTTCAGGTTGAACCAAAAACAAAAAAGGTTCAGTTCAGTTTCGAGGCGTTTCACTGTGTTCCTCAGAGCTCCAAACAAAGCATCCGCACCTGGAATTCCATGAATTTCCGACCAAGCACATGTTCAAAATAGATCTGAAGGGCAGAGGGTCCTAATTTTAGAGTAAATGGTGGCGTTCGTGTCCACAGTCGTCACTTTGCCACGAGTGATGTTCATAAAACTCCTTCGGGTTGATTTGTGCTCAGAGGTGGCGCTGTTTCTGCCACAAAGCCCAAGATTCGAAAATCTGTTTATTCCGGAGCGTCCACGCGGCTCGGAACAGAGGCAGCAGCCAGATGAGGAGGAGAGTCAGCTTCTCATTCAAACTTCCTTTCCACCTTAAACGATGCAGCGACGTTAAATGCTGGCCCAGAATGTAACTGCAGCACCATTTAAGGTGGAACAGAGTATCCGAATAAGAAGCCGACTTCATCGGAAGTTCTGAGTCTGTCAGTTCACTGGTATTGCAGAAGGAGCCGGACCGAACAGATATAGGCCCAAAAACATGCTTCACACAGGAACGCGTACACGGACGCCTCGAGTCACGCAGATGGGGTTTCCTGCATAGCTGCACTGCAAAAATGAGCTGCATTCTGGGCATTACAGCAGGGGGCGCTATAATGACAGCCTAGCCAACCAAACCATGGATTTGGAGAATGGTTAGACCCTTACACTCTTAAAAAACGATGGTTCTTCATGGGTTCTTTATTAAAGAAAAATGGTTCTATATAGAACTGTGAACACTCAAAGAACTCTTTGCATGATTACATGGTTCTTTGCATCCTGAAACGGTTCTGCAGATTGATGGAGAATGTGCTGTGGATGGTTCTATATAGAACCTTTTTAAAATGGGTTGTGTATAGCACCAAAAAGGTTCCCCTATTGTGACGATATCAAGCTTGCAACAATACTAGAACCCTTTTTGGTGCTGTGTAGAACCCTTTTCAAAAAAGTTCCATATAGAACAGCACATTCTACATCAATCTAAAGAACTTTTCAGGATACAAAGAACCCTTTAATCATGCAAAGAGTTCTTTCAGTGTTCACAGTTCTATATAGAACCATTTTTCGTTGCTAAAGAACCCTGGAAGAACCATCTTTTCTAAGTGTGTAGTCAACATTACATGACGCTGTGTTCCGCAGGGGTGTAAAGGTGATTCAGCTGCATCAGTCTTGGATTGTAATGCATTTTAATAAGAATATACACTAAATTATGTTCTCATTTTTGGTTGTAATAAAAGCTCAAACCTCCACCTGAAGACGTCGGGTGTGTTTCTCCTCTAGTTAAGGTTTGTGTTTCAGTTCCACAAGATGCAGGAAAGCGTGTCCTCGTCTCTCCCCACACACACCCCCTGGGTTTGTAGCTGGTGTGTGTTAGATAAGAGGACGCGAGTGTGTGTGCTGAGACGTGTGTGTGTGTGTGTGTGTGTGTGTGTGTGTGTGTGTGCTGAGACGTGCGTGTGTGTGTGTGTGTGTGTGGTGATGTAAGAGCTAAAGGAGTTTAAAGCGTGACGCGGGTCACTGTGTGTTATATAAACGCTGTAAGCACCAACTGCCCCCCCACACCCCCACCCACTCCCCCTCTCTGCAAGATCTGACCCGTTTACAGTTTCATTCTGTTTAGTTAATTATGTAATCGTTCATTTACTCAATTATTAACAGCTGAAAATACCTGAAACCTACAGTTTTACACTGGTTTTTATTTCACTTACCTCTCTCCCCATGTCCATTTCTCTCTATCTCTTTCTTTTCTCTCTCTCTTCCACTCTGTCATTCTATTTCTTTCTCTCTCTCTCTCTTTCTCTCTTTCTGTTTGTCTCCCTCATTCTGTCTCATTCTTTCTTTTTTCTCTCTTTCTTTCTTTCAATCTGTCTTTCATTCTCTCTCTCTCTCTCTCTCTCTCTCTCTCTCTCTCTCTCTCTCTCTCTCTCTCTGGTTGTTGTATGAGTAACAGAACAATTTTGACCTACCATTAATTTCATTTTAACATTTGATGCTAGTGTTGCTAACTGTAGCCAAAGTCCACCTCCTTGTTTCTACACTCACTGTCCACTCTATCAGCTCCATTGACCATATAGTTTCACAAACCATCTGTTTCTCTGATACTTTGTTACCCTGTTCTTCAATAGTAAGGACCCCCACAGGACCCCCACTGAGCAGGTACTATTTGGGTGGTGGATCATTCTCAGCACTGCAGTAACACTGACGTGGTGGTGGTGTGTTAGTGTGTGTTGCGCTGGTGCGAGTGGATCGGACACAGCAGTGCTAATACTGTCTGTAAGGCAGCTTCAACCTGTAATAAGGAGTGAGGTGAAGATGTTTGCTTTTGAAATAGATAAATAAAAATAGAAATGGATGGATTCATGGATGAGCCTCCGTTCATTACCCATCAGCTGCTACTGAATAAAGTGGTTCTGTGCACAAATGAAGTGAAATCTACCAGACTTTAAAGAACAGATGAGAACTAGAACAGAACTTTCTGACAGACTCTCAGAGATTCATTTAGGCTTTATTCATCATCTGCTGCCTGAGCATCTGTTCATTCTTTATGACTGAGTTGTTGTTTTTTCTCTGTTTTTCAGCCCAAACAGAAAGATCTCCAGCACCGCCTTCGGCCGGTAAGAAGCCAGTCTGTCTCCTTTAATGTCAGAACACAAAGTTCATCACATGTAATGTGGTTTTCCCAGAGTTTCCCTTTAAACCTGAATGATAATGGACCCAAACAGAATCAAATAAGAGCACAAGTCAGATTTCGGTTAGGTCAAGGGCCTTGACTGGTTTCTAGTGCTCTCTCAAATAGTTTCAAATGGCTTTGAAAAGTCTAGAGTGGCCTCACATAGTCTTTGAGAGACCTACATGGCCTTGAGTGGTCTCTAACAGTCCTAAATGGTTTTGAACAGTCTTAAAAACTCTCAAACAACTCCCTTGAATTCTACTGGATGGCACTGAAAAGTCTCAAATGGTGCCGAATCCCACGTTGCCTTGAATGGTCTCATATGGTGTCAGATAGTCATAGAATCTCTCAAATGGTCTTGAAAAGTCCTCAGAGTCTTCAGTAATCTTGAATGGTCTTAAGTAGACTTGAATGGGCTCACGTGGTCTCAAATGATCCCCAGTCGTCTCAGATGTTCTCTAATGGTCTTAAATAGCCGTGAAGTGTCTCAGATGCTCTTAAATGATCTTGGTTAGCCCTGAAACGTCCGCTGATAGTCTAAAGTGGTCACACATACTCCTGAGTTATCTTGAGTGGTCTTGAATGGTATTAAAAAGCCTTGTATTGTTTTGAATTGTATTGAGTTGTCTCAGATGGTCTTGATGGGCTCAAATCTTTTTATGATCATTTTGAATAGCCTTGGCTCAAATGGTCTGTATTGATATCTAACAGTCTTGAACAGTATCAGATTGTCCTAAATGGTTTTGAATGGCCGGTGGCGCAGTGGGTAGCGCTGTTGCCTCACAGCAAGAATGGCCTGGGTTCGATACCCGGCCGGGCGACCAGGGTCATTTCTGTGTGGAGTTTGCCTGTTCTCCCCGTGTCTGCGTGGGTTTCCTCCCACAGTCCAAAAACATGCAGTCAGGCTGATTGGACATGCTAAATTGCCCCTAGGTGTGAGTGAGTGTGTGACTCTGTATGTCTGTCTGTCTGCCCTGCGATGGACTGGCGAACTGTCCAGGGTGTATCCTGCCTTCCGCCCAGTGACAGCTGGGATAGGCTCCAGCACCCCACCGCGACCCAGAAGGATAAGCGGTTTAGATGATGGATGGATGGATGGTTTTGAATGGTCCTGAAAAGCCTAGAATGGCATTGAACAGTTCTAGAGGGACAAGCTGTTAAAAGTTGCCCGTGTTTGAAGTGTGTATGAATCTGAGTGTCCTCTCTGTCTCTATCTGTCCTACAGTCAGCTCTTCCACCACAGTAACTTCAGCAGCAGTCAGGGCAGTACAGAAGACCTTTTCAGAGACAGCATCGACTCCTGCGACATCGATATCACAGAGAAGGTACTGAGAGCCACATTGACTGGATTGGGCTTTAGAGAATAGAAGAGCATGTTATAAAATATAGATAGTAGAGTGAACAGTTCCAGTCAACAGGTGTCTGTGTTCTTCAGGTGAGCTACCTGGAGAAGAAGGTGACGGAGCTGGAGAACGAAAGCCTGGCCAACGGAGACCTGAAGAGCAAACTGAAGCAGGAGAACACACAGCTCGTTCACCGGTACGTTTACACACACAGACTTTTGTTGCTGTGACTAAATTAAACTACTGCCGAACATGCTGCTGTACTTGATGTACATGTCAGCACCACTAGAGGCTCCATGCAGTATTGCAGGCAACCATGACACTGTGGTGACCAATCACAGTCAGGGGGAGGTCTCAGAGCAAATGAGGTGGTGTTCAGGACCAATCACAGTCAGGGGGAGGTCTTAGAACAAACCATGCAGTGATTAGGACCAGTCTCAGTTAGGGGGAGGTCTCAAAATGAACAAGGTGGTGATTAGGACCAATCACAGTCAGTGGGGAGGTCTCAGAATAGACAAAGTGGTGTTCAGGGCCAATCACAGTCAGGGGGAGGTCTCAGAACTAATGAGGTGGTGATTAAGACCAATCGCAGACAGGGGGAGGTCTCAGAACAAACCATGGAGTGATTAGGACCAGTCCCAGTTAGGGGGAGGTCTCAGAATAGACAAGGTGGTGTTCAGGGCCAATCACAGTCAGGGGGAGGTCTCAGAGCAAATGAGGTGGTGTTCAGGACCAATCACAGTCAGGGGGAGGTCTTAGAACAAACCATGCAGTGATTAGGACCAGTCTCAGTTAGGGGGAGGTCTCAAAATGAACAAGGTGGTGATTAGGACCAATCACAGTCAGTGGGGAGGTCTAAGAATAAATTAGTTGATGATTTGGACTAATCACAGAAGAAATGAGGTGGTGATTTGGACTAATCACAGAAGAAATGAGGTGGTGATTTGGACTAATCACAGAAGAAATGAGGTGGTGATTTGGACTAATCACAGAAGAAATGAGGTGGTGATTTGGACTAATCACAGAAGAAATGAGGTGGTGATTTGGACTAATCACAGTCAGGGGGAGGTCTCAGAATAAATTAGTTGGTGATTTGGACCAATCACAGTCAGGGGGAGGTCTCAGAATAAATGAGGTGGTGATTTGGACTAATCACAGTCAGGGGGAGGTCTCAGAATAAATGAGGTGGTGATTTGGACTAATCACAGTCAGGGGGAGGTCTCAGAATAAATTAGTTGGTGATTTGGACTAATCACAGTCAGGGGGAGGTCTCAGAATAAATTAGTTGATGATTTGGACTAATCACAGTCAGGAGATGGAAAAAGAAAAACAAATAAAGTTATGGAGCTATGAGGTTTTGTTATGACAGGTATACAAATAGGCTTCCAAATTACACTTCAGAGTAAACTACACTGTAGTGATGAGTGTGTGTGTTTAGAGTGCACGAGCTGGAGGAGCAGATTAAAGACCAGGAGACGCGGGCGGAGCAGAGTCTGGAGGAGGAGCTGAAGAGGCACCGAGAAATTTACAGCAAAATGGAGAGAGATAAAAGCACCGAGATAGAGCTCCTCTGTAACAGGTACAACAAACACACTGTATAATACACACTACACAGTGCAGAAGACCACACACAGATCACAGCTGCTGTCTTTGACTTCAAATTACCATCAAATGTTATTTTAATAAAAACACCTTGGTCCTCAGTGAACTGGCGCTTGAGCCCCTGTCTGAGGGTCGTGCTATTTAACTGCTGTGTAACTTCCTGTCTGCTGTCGTGTCTCAGGGTGCAGCAGCTGGAGGAGGAGAACACGGAGTTGAAGGTGAACGTTTGCAGACTGAAGTCACAGACTGAGAAACTGGACCAGGTGAGAAACACATTCATCGTTATTATCATGACTGTCGTCATCACTATCATCAGAATTGTTAACACCATCATCATCACCTTCATAATCACCACCATTATCATCACCATTATTACCATAACCATCATTATCAACACCAACATTATCATCACTATTATAACCACCACCATCACCACCATCATCATTATCATCACCATCGTAATCACTATCATCATCACCATTATCACCATCATAACCACAATCATTATTACCATCACCATCATTATCATCACCATCACCATCGCATCATTACCATCATCATCACATCGTCACCATCACTGTCATCATCACAAACGTTACCATACTGTGGCATGTGCCCGTCCACCGGGCCCTGAGGGTTCGTCACCGCTCGGTGTTCGGGCCCCGCCTTCCTGCCGGCTCTTGCGGCCGCCATCAGGGCCCGGTGGACAGTCGCATGCCACACATACCATCATCACAATCATCATCATCACTACTACCACCATCATCATCACCATCGTTATAACAATCATCACCATCATCACCAATATGATCGCCACCGTAATCACCATCATTACCATCATCACCACCATCTTTATCATCGTTATCATCACCATTGTCATCCCCATCATCATCACCGTACTATCATTTCCATAAATATCATCACTACCACCATCATCAACACCATTATCATCACTATCATCATGACAGTAATCACCATCATAACCATCATCACCAATATAATCACCATCATCACTATCATCCACAACATGACCACTATCACTATGATCTCAACAATCACATTCATCACCAATCATCACCATCACCATAATGATCATTGTCAAAATCACCATCACCATAATCATCACCATCATCACAAGAATCTCCATCATAAACATTAATGCAAGCATGATCCCCCATGACATCATCACTATCACAATCACTATCATCACACCTTCAACCGTCTACGCACGTTCTCCATCAATCTGAAGAGCCCTTTCTTGATGTAGATGGTTCTGTATCGCACCAAAAAGGATTCTGGTGTTGTTACAATGTCAGCTCTTTCAGTGCTATACAGAACCCTTTTAAAAAGGTTCTATAGAACCATCTACAGCACATTTTCCATCAGTCTGATGAACCATTTCACCATGTAAAGAACTCTTTAATCATGTTAAGGGTTCTCTGAGTGTTCCGTAACCATACACTAAAAAATATTCTAGTAACAAAATAATATTCCAGTAAAATCAAGGGAAACAATAAAAAAAGTAAAGAAACATGTTTTAACTGTTTTTTTTAAATATTGACAGAAGGCGGCTGATGATTTTATCGGTAATATGTTGCAGATCTTTAGTGCATAAAAACAGAACCTCTCTGCTCTTTATAAGCTTCATGTGTGAAATATGGAGGTTTGGAACATCATCAGCACTCAGAAACGTATAAAGGCGTTAAAGTTTTAAGGGATTTGAAGACTAGCAGTACAGTGTTATATTCACTTTGAGAGGAATAATCATATCACCACCATCATCATAATCACAATAATAACCTTCTTCACCATCATCACACAGACCCTCAGTCCCAGCCCTCCTCTCTGAGCTGCTCCTCTCTGAGCTCCCACAGTGACTGTGTGCTGCAGATGTGCTGCAGATGTGTTTGAGAACTCTGTGAAAATGAATCAGGCAGTTTCTCAGATCCACTCAGAGCAGCTGTTGAGCTGTGACTGTATCAGAGCTGCTGCGTGTTGCTGCGTGGAATCGGGCTGTGAATGCTAACGAGAGCGCTGCGTTAGCCGGTGTAATGAGAGTGTGAAGCTGCCGTCTGAGGGGTGGGATGGTGGTGGGGGTGGTGCTGTGGGGGGATTAGCTCTCCTGTACTGCGGAGACTTTGATCTGGAACAAAGAGAAACACTGCAGAGCGATGGAGTCTCTGCTTCAGCCCGAAAAACTGGGTCACCACCACCACACAGCCGAGAGAGCGGCGGCTAACGCTCTTCATATTTCATACACTCTGCGTGCCGTTGGTCTTTCTCCCTACGTGGGGTCCGAATGTCTCTATGAATATTGAAAACGTAAAGATTATGAGATGGAGGGACCTTTTGAATGAGGGAAAGGAGGAAAAGGAGGGGAAAGAACTGTTTCGGTTAATGCAGTGATCAATTTTCATTGCTCAATTCACAAATCAGCCTAAATCTCTAAGTCTGTGTTCAGACTGCAGGACAGGTTTGTTTCTCAAATCAGATATTTTGAGTTCACTGTCCGCTCTGTTATTTGCTAGTGATCAGATCAGATTTGTGTGTTCAGACATCACCAGCCGATCTGCATGGGCTGCCGTTATAATGACGCAGGCATCATTAACTACGGCAAAATTACATACAATACAGCAAAATTCAGATATAGGCTAGCAGTCTGAACAAGGCCTAAAAGGTCCATGTCCAGGAGTCCAAGACAGCACAATGGTCCTCTCTCTCTCTGGGTGGGCAGGATGGCCCCCCGTCTCCCCCATCACTCAGTGCGATGCTAGTCAGCGCAGCGTCTGTTCGCTGACGTAACAGATCTGGCGGTTAGCGTTCTCCTCCGAGCGTGTTCAGCCTTTCAGTGACGCTGCATTAGCAGCAGTTTGAAAAGATGCGCTGGAGTTTCACAGAACTCGGAGGAAGACTATGTTTGCCTTCGCCCTCCTAGAGCTGGTCGTATCATGTGATTGGGGGAGTCCTAACTGGTAAGTGGAACTGGATCCGACTAAATTTGGGAGAAAATCTGGAAAATATATATATAAAAAAAAAAAGATCTAAAGAGCAAATCTGCCTCAAAACACTGGATGTCCTTTCCTGACTGAGCAAAATCTTAGGCTTGTATGTTCATTCGTTTTTGTGTTAGCAGGCGTCGGCGTGGCCTCTCTTTGAGGTGTTATTTACTATTAATAACTACACATTTTGAGCAAATAATATTGCAGGATCTCTGATTTTGTGCATTTATTCTCAAATCTATCACCAGTTTTCCCAAATTTGTTATTCTAAAGCAAAAAAACAGCTGAAGTTGTGGTTTGTTTAAGTTGTATGCACTGAACTCTTGAGCCTTTCAGAGGAGAAATCTGTGAAGATAATAATCCGTATGTCTGTGTTGTTCCAGGAGAAGCAGCGTATGACGGATAAGCTGGAGGACACCAGCCTGCGTCTGAAGGATGAGATGGACCTGTACAGGAAGATGATGGACAAGCTGTGGCAGAACAGACACGAGTTCCAGAAAGAACGCGAGGCCATGCAAGAGGTGAGAAACACACACATTTATAAGTTCTCATAAACTGTTGGTGCATTAATACATAATATAATTGATGCACAGTCATATCAGACCAGGTAGTGAGCATATATCAGTCCACTGGCTTGATAACAACAACTCAGACCACCCAGATTACTGTCCTGCCTTTGGTTTAACTAGACTTTTAATTTCCTCAAAGATTTTAAATGCACAAAGACTTTTATTTTGAAAAATAAAACTATTATTGCAAACAGTTTAGAGGAAAAAATGAATGACCAGGTTGAAAATGGTTGAAAATGTTGCTGACTCTGCTAGAGTGGTTACAGCTCTATAACTGGCTTTATTTATGATATTGCTATTAAAATAATGTGCTAAACTAATTTATTAAAGGTATAAGGAAAGAAAGAAATGAAGAAAAATAAGAAATTTGGACTGTGAGTAGAAAATGAGTGATGAAAAGTGGCATTTTGTCTGAAACTCTGTTTAACCACCAGTGGGCCGCCTTTAAAACGCTGAGCACAAAGCCGGTGGGCCACCAGCTTTGCTGTTGGCTCCTGTGCTCTGACTCTCTGGGTGTGTATACGGAGTATTTAATAAAGGTTTCTTCCATCTGCACTGTTGTCAAATCAGAACCATACCGGAGAAAAACTACACACAAGAGTGGCTCAGCGACGGCTAACAGGCTAACAGCTACACACACTACAGATTACATTCAATTTCCACTGTCACTCCAACTCTAGTCACTCAGCTTTTGGAGTCTTTGGAGTCTTTATCCTCTAATCGTGTGTTATTTTAGCATCAGTTGGCTGGAACTGAGACTGTGCTGGTGCGGGTGGCAGTTTTAGCCCGCTAACTAAATTATATGGACAGAAGTATTGGGACACCTACACATTATACCTACAGGAGCTTTTATGACTCCCATTCTAAATCATAGGCATTAATATGGAGTTGGTCCCCCTTTGCAGCTCTAAGTTTCCACTCTTCTGGGAAGCTTCTACAAGATGTTGGAGAGAGTCTGTGGGAATTTCTGCCCATTCATCCAGAAGAGCATTTATGAGGTCAGACACTGATGATGGACGAGAGGGTCTGGATCTCAATCTCCGTTCTAGTTCATCCCAAAGGTGTTTGATGGGGTTGAGGTCAGGGCTCTGTGAGGGTCAGTCAAGTTCTTCCACACCAGACTCACCCAGTCAGGCCTTTATGGAGCTGCTCTGTGCACTGGGGCTCAGTCATGCTGGAACAGGAAAGGTTCTTCCCCAAACTGTTCCCACAAAGTTGGAAGTGTATAATTGTCCAAAATGTCTTGGTGCTGAGTCATTAAGATTCCCCTTCACTGGAACTAAGGGTTCTAGATCAACCCCTGAAAAACAGCCCCATATCATCATCCCTCCTCCACCAAACTCTACAGCTGCACAGTGCAGTCAGGCAGGTAACGTTCTCCTGGCATTCGCCAAACCCAGACTTGTCCATCAGACTGACAGATAGAGAAGCTGATTGGTCACTCCACAGAACACGTTTCACTGCTCCAGGGTAGAGTGGCCACAGGTTTTACACCAGTACCCCCCTAAACGTGTACCGTAGGTCAGGAACCATATTACAGGGCAATCAGAACAAGATCACCTGTCAAGTGTGAAGACACCCTTAGTGAACTGTCACTTAATGGGAGTGTCCATCCTCTTTCACAGAGTGATAGATCTTCCTGTGTGTGTGTGTAGTTGATAGAGGACCTGAGGAGGGAGCTGGAGCACCTGCAGCTCTTCAAGCTGGAGACGGAGCGGCCTGGACGAGGACGAAACTCTTCAGCCGAATTCAACGCCAGAACACGGGAGATAGAGCTGGAGCACGAAGTCAAACGCCTCAGACAGGTACATCACCACAGCTACTCATCAGGCTGAATGAATAACTGACTCTAAATGTAGGTATTGTGATATAAACTGAGTCTGTTCTACAGTTTCTCATTAGGCTGAATGAATAACTGACTCTAAATATAGGTATTGTGGTATAAACTGAGTCTGTTCTACAGTTTCTCATTAGGTTGAATGAATAACTGACTCTAAATGTAGGTATTGTGGTATAAACTGAGTCTGTTCTACAGTTTCTCATTAGGTTGAATGAATAACTGACTCTAAATGTAGGTATTGTGATATAAACCGAGTCTGTTCTACAATTTCTCATTAGGTTGAAATGGAGTGTTCTTCTATTGTAACAAGCTTGACACTGTAACAGTTGAAGAACCCTTTTGGATGCTGTAGAACTGTCTACAGCACATTCTCCATCAATCTGAAAAGCGTTTTTATGATGCAGGGAACCATTTTATCATGCAGAGGGTTCTTTGAGTGTTCATGGTTCTATGTAGAACCATTTTCTTTACTAAAGAACCCTTGAAGAATGGTTTCTTTTAAGAGTGTAGGGTGGTTCCAGATGATTTTTATGTAATTGTAGGTGGTTGCAATGGTGTTGCTAGCTGGTTGCTCTTGTACTACAGGAGATTGCTATTGTGTCCCAGGTGGTTGCTAGGATGTTGCTAGGTGGTTGCCATGGCTTCCAAGGTGGTTGCAGCTATTGGCGCCAGCAGTTGTTTGTATTCATGTAGACAGTGTGGAACAGTTAAAGGCGACGTTTTCAGTTAACTATTTTGTTCCCAGCATTTGGTTTCATTCCTTGAATCGGTTCAGAGGCCTGGTGTTCATGTATCTGTTCCTGAGGAACATCAGCTATAATGTAATTCTGTCTGTTTTCCTCCTAATAGGAGAACCATAAGCTGAGGGATCAGAACGATGATCTAAATGCGCAGATCCTGAGCCTGAGTCTTTACGAGGCTAAAAACCTGTTCGCCTGCCACACAAAGGCCCAGTCGCTCGCCGCCGAGATCGACAACGCCTCCAGAGATGAGGTAAGAGACATGATCACATACAGATCTCACTGGATTTGACTCTTTTTTACATGTTCTCCATGCTTATCCATCACTGGGGAGGAGTCAGAGTTGTTATTGTGGTACTGAGAGGGAGCATGAAGTTTTAAATGCCAATAATTATGACACTTGGCATTTTTACATAGGCTCTTTTATTGCCAAGGATGCCAACAGTTTTACTTATCGTTTCTGTCAGGCAAAATGTTTTCAAATTGTACTTAAATGTAAAAAATTTTTTTCCAAATAACTTCGGGCCGTTTGGACCAGAATGCAGTGATTAGTAGATTCTGTTTGAGCTGTATTAAACTGAAAACAGTACAAAAAACACAATGTTTGATGTTTTCTATTATAAACTTTGTTTTTTTTTTTAATATATACACTCCAAATTTCATGCCTCCTACAAGTTCCAAAATAGTTGGGAGAGGAGCATGTTTACCCCTGTGTTACATCACCTTTCCTTTTAACAACACTTTGTGAGTTCGGGCCGTGCCTTCAACATGTGGTGGTAGTATGAGGGAAGACTGACTGAAGGAGGGGGAGAACTATGAGAACGTGGGCTGGAGTTCTGGGTGGCTTCTGCCAAGAGCTAGAAACCCGGACCCCCAAAAGAACTCCAGGAGGAATTCAGAAACTGGGTCTTGGACTGAGTGAGGGGTATGAAGAGTACACTGTTAGAAATAAAGGTTCTGTAAAGGTACAATTCTCGTTCATTAAGGTACAAACAGTGTAAATGTTCCCTCAAAGCTCCAACAGTGGTTTTAAGGTCTGATTGTGAACCTTAAATCAGTTTTTCCAGGTGAAAAGTTCGTATTTGTACCTTTTCATAACCGAATGTTTTAAACAGAACAGTAAAATAAAAGCCTGGAGACGAGACGGGGTGTGTGGAGTCAGTACAGCTTAGAACATATCATTTCAGTGGATTATGGTTCAGTTATGTTCCCTGACTAAAGGTACTGAGATGGAGCCTTGAGGGAACCACCCCAATGACAAGAGGGGTTTAATACCTTTATTTCTGAGAGTGTACGCTCGAAGGACCTTCTCATCATGAGAAAGACGGTGGTCCAGAGCTGAGCTGTCTGTCCTGCAAGAGCTGGTTCTGAAGTGGTGATGAGGACTGCAGCAGTTTGGGTAGAGAACTTGGTGTAAGTGTGTGCCAGAGGTGTATGGAGGTCTGTGGCAGAGCGGTTCATAGCAGAACCAGTGTCACAGGAAACAGAAGGTAAGGATGGGAATAGGTAGGTCGTTGGATTGGAAGGAGGAGGGGTTTCAGGCATGTTCCTCCCTAACTGGATTTAGTGAGTAATACTGAACAAAAATCTCTTTGTAGGCTCTTTTTTTTCCAGCTGATCAGATGTTTAAACAAAAATATCATTTATTATGAAAACGTCTTGAAGTATCACAGTATTATATTTTCGCTGTATCACCCAGCTCTAATATGCGCTGTAGAGTGTGAAATCCTTGCTGGCGCTTGTTGAACGTTGTTTTCCGGCTGATCAGAAAGCCTTCCTGGATGCTCCTTTTATAGGCAAGCATGACTGCATCACCTGTTCGAGATGCATTTTAAACTTCTGCTCTTAAATCACTCCTGTACCACCTTTTTTAGAAATGTGTGTCAGCCGAGTTAAACACTAAGGCCCAATCCCATTTCTTATTTTTACCCTAAAACAGTCACCTTAGAACTTAGAGTTGCAGGGGTTGAAATGGGACCCTTGAATAAAAAGAGCATCACTTCATTAACAGCTACCAGCGCTGCTCTGTAGGCGACCCTGCCAGTCTGCAGTGACAGCAGAGAAGGGTAAAGTTCAGCTCCTCACTGCTGGGCTTTAGTTACATTTAGGGCATCATATGATCTTCAAAGAGGGGGGCAATTATTTATTATCACCCACCACTAATTCAGTGATATGAAGCTGAAGTCAGATATTCACCAGATTCTCGTTTGAATTTGAGGCTCCAGAATGTAACTGCTGCACTAGTTAAGGTAGAACGGGAAATTTAGCCAGCTAGCTACTGAGACATCAGCACTACTGCACTTTTATGCTTGTTAAGAAGAAAAGGACCATAATACACTGAAACAACATTGATCTAAGATAATATGATTAATTTTTAACAGAGAAAATTCTCACATTTGTGGGTTTCTTTGGTCTCTTGTTAAGCCGTCTTACCGGTTTCTCTTTTTTTCTCATATCACTCTGGAGAGTCTCTGAAAAACTTCTGTTTGGAGGGTCATGTAGCTCCAACACTTCGCCCCTCTATCGCAAAAAGAATCGAGACACCCTACCCCTAGACGTGAGGGGTAGGGCTGAGTGGTAGGGGCGAGGGTTAAAATGGGACAGGGCTGTTTTTCATTAAAATACAGGTCAGAGTGTGTTTACAGATCACTGCTTTCTGTTTTAATTGAGTTTCTCATACTGTGTCTCACCTCTTTGGAGCTGAGGTTTGTACAGCCTGATGCTGTAGTGCAGTTGATGGTGTTAAATTGGGTGTTATTTATTGCCGGTGTGTTCACCGTGTTTCTGTGCTTGTTTCATAGCTGGTGGAAGCCTTGAAGGAGCAGGAGGAGATCAACTTCCGTCTCAGGCAGTACATGGATAAGATCATCCTGGCCATCCTGGACCACAACCCCTCCATCCTGGAGATCAAGCATTAGAGCTGCACTGCTGGAGAGAGAAACACTGGCTTTAGGCGCCCCCGTGTGGCCAGGAAGTGAACTGCACCAACAATTCCACTCACTCACCTCATTCTGTATCAGGACACGCCCCCATACTGGTGAGACACCATCACTCGGGGGTTTCCTTCACGCTCCTCACCATGCCATGAGTTCAGAACCCTCGCACTGCAGAGCTGTTTAACACCTGGAAGGTGTATTTTTCACCGTAAGTTTGTATGGAGTAGATCAGCTAAACTCACAGAGAGCCTGTGAGAAATGAGCGGAACACTGGACCATATGTTTTCTAGAAAAGCTAGAGCTTTTTGTTTTTAGATTCTATAGAAACGGCAAACGTGTGTCTCTTAAATGTGGAGCCTCCACAGGCTGATTTACACTCCTGCAAACCTGCATAGAAATGAGTATGTGAGTTTCAGAGAAGGCCCAAAACCAACAAAATCTCAACTGCACTGCAAAAAAATGGTGTCTTTCCATGAGAAACATCTTAATTCTAGTCAACGTATCCAATATTCCTCATTATAAGACTTTTAAGAGTATTATGAGACAATTCAGCCTATTTCAGTACATTTCTTCTCCTTTAAAGCAGCTCTATTTTGTGAAATGATCTTATTTCCTCAACATAATTGTGTGAAATGTAGAAAAAGCTAATGTTCTTACAGTAATTGTCAAATTTTAGATACATTGACTAGACTTAAGATGCTTTTACTCATCAAGATATTGCCTTTTACAGTGTCTACCACCAGGATATAAGATGTGTAGACAGTTTATTTCTCGTGCAGATGTCTAAGTGCAGTGCTGTGGGTCTGATTCTTTGAGCAGGGAAGCGATTTGATTTAAACAAGACCGAAACGAAACTAAACACGGCAAAACAGAGCCCTTTGAGGACCGAGTGGCCGAAGAGGCTCTGTGTTATTATCAGTTATATTATAATACAGGGTTGAACAAAAATCACTGTTTGTTTTGTACGTGCTAGTTTCATAAATACAACACTGCCCTCTTGTGGACACGTGAGACACTTAACGTCTGCGCACGTTTGCAGATTTGCAGATGCAGGAGTATAATTCAGCCCCGAGACATTCAGACCACGACAGCTTGTTGTGTGGAACTTGTAAGGATGTCTGTGGTCCATTGTGAGCCATACAGGAGCCAAGGCCACAGTGAAAGGACTTTTATTCTGAAAAGCTTGAGCAGTTTTCTCAGTCTGGGCACTATACCATGTGCTATAGTGTAATTAGAGGGAGGTAAAGCTCATGTATGTAGTATATAGTTGTATATTACACTGCTGGTAATGGATCTTGGGGCCATTACTGCTTTTAATGATCTGTTAATTAACCACACTGAAGGAATATTCCAACAACAACAACAACAAAAATCTAATTTTCAGAGTTTTTAGAAAGGCAATACATGGTAATGGCATAATAATGCATGGCAAAAGTTTGTGCGCCCCTACTCAAATTACACGTCTTGTTGATTTCCTAAATGTAAATAAGTTAACACACCCTCTACAGTGAACACACTTAAATATGGCATTTTCATTTTAGTCCACAACTTCTATTAATTTGCTGGGTTTGGTTTTATATTAGAAATGGGTGATATGGCAAAAATATAATAATGCAATAATTCAAGAAATTTTCAGGATACACAATATGTCAGGATATTTATTTTTTCAGACATCTGATCAGTTGGAACAGAGAAAAAAGAGCCAGTAGAGCTACATTTAAAGAAATACTATCAAATCAATATTTGTCACTAAATCCAGTTAAACAGGACTAATTTTGCTCTCTTTATAATGAAACATGCAGTTGGTCACCATAGTTAATTGTAATTTGACATAATTTGTTACGATAACGATATATATTGTCATATTGCCCAGCCCTTATATACGTAGTCCTTATAAAACAAAACCTCGTATCTCCATTTTTGTTGTTTTGTGCTTTTTTCTTCTTACACAATTTTAAAATGCCAGGTGCCCTTTACAACATGCTAAAGTATCATGATGAATGGACCAATAGAAGAGTTCCAAAATTATGTATATATATATATATATTCAGTAATTGAATAGGTGCCTAAGACTTACTGTACTGTATATGCACGGTGCTGTATGTACTATAAAACTCTGAAAATGTACATTTTTTGAGAAAAAATGTTGGAATATTCCATTTTCAGCACGTCTCTCCTCACCCTGTAGAACAGACAGACCGTTTGACCGGACGCGAAGCACAACTGGAGTGAACAGTGTCTTTACAGAGTAAACGCGTTTGCACAGAACAGTGAACACGTGTAACGTACACAGACTGGAGCACTGGATCTAGAACTGGAAAATAGAACTTTATTTTGAGGACAAAATGAAAAAGAATGTGTAAAAAAAAAAGGAAATGAAAGTTTATTTTTCATACAGAAGTGTAAAAGATGTTTAGTTTAGTCCTACTATACCCCGGTCCCCCGGCCCCCCGGCCCCCCCGATACGGTCGACCTTGAGAATATGGGCACAAAATTCACTCCGAGTGGTGTTTTTGTAATCGTTATTATCTCCACTTACAGTCACGTCCAAAACAGAGCGTAAATCTGTGACCTCACAAAGATTCGATTCAGGTATGATTCGTCAGGAAATGATTCAGTACTTCAAGAAGTCTCAGATGTAAACACAGTTTGATTGGATTCCATTATATTGGTGTGAGATCAGAACTCATTTTATTAAAAATGGTCTTTTTTTGGGGAGATGTTTTTTGTATTGGAGGACTTTTAATTTTTAGTTTTTAAATAGTGATTTTTATCCCTAAAAAGGAGTGCAAACTTTACTGAATGTAACTCTAATTATAATCAGTTCCATCCCAATATTGATGCCACCTTCACACATATTTACATCCCTAATTTACACCACAGGTGAAAATGCAGATACTTTTTTTTTAACTTCCTGAAATTAGTAGAAAATAAGGGTTACAAAAATGCCGTGTAGTGTTTGTGCTCATATAGAGACCCGAGGACAGCAGGTACACGTTCAAAGGTTTGGAATCACCGTTAATCATGTTACTTTATACAATAATAACATATATTCTGTGGCTTTAAATGTTAGATATTATTCACTAAAAGATGTTTTAGATGTTTTATTCAATATTTCAAGAGTTCAGTGAACAAGAAGTGAATGAAATGATAAATAATATGCTGTAATTATGTCAGACTGTCTGCGTTGAGCTTTGATCTGGATGTTAAAGCTGCACTATGTAAGATGTTTGTGTTAGAACTGAAAGAAGTGAGGAGAGTGAAAACACACTGAAATATGGTGAGCGTGAGCCGCTTTAAATCGCCCTGTAAAGCCTGAAATAATCATTTTGAAGTCAGAGGCGTCGAGTTTTTCACACCACATGTATGTTTATGTATTAACGTCACACACAGACTCAAAACGAAGGTCCAGCTCGATGTTTAGGCCTCATCGCATGTGTTTTTTTCTTCATCCGAATTTTTTTGATACTTTACATCAAACAAATTGCATAATGCTGCACTATAATGAGGCGAGAGACGACAATATATACACATAACTGGCACTTCAGAGCGCTGATGCTTTCTCATTCTAGGCTAACTTTATGCAAATGAGCTGGGAGGCGACCAATCAGATTGTCGATATGTGGCACATTAACTGTGCCGCAGTGACGCGGTGAGATTTAACACTGGAGATCTCACTTTCAGTGGGTGATGAGACGGATGATAAACCGTTATAATTACAGTAGATGGTTTTCAACGTTTGAAAGCAGCATTGGGCTGCTTTGGGTTCAGAACTGGCCTGTAACTCTGCACCTGTGTGTGTTTTAGCGATGCGCCGTGAAAGCAGCTGATGTTGTGGAAGCGATTTGACTCGCTGTGATGAAAACACATCGTAAACGTAAACAGTGCGGCTACCGCAAACCCCACTCTGAAACAAGCACATGAGTCTTACTGAAAGGTTAAGATCTCTGCAGGTGCAGTCCTGAAATCAGGGGGTTCTGTAGCCTCCTCAGCCCCTCAACGTCCCGTGTCCCTGCTCACATCCTCGGAAGACGTGTCCTTCACCAAGTTCTCTTTGAATTCTACGCTGAATATTCTTCCACACGTTTTTGTGCAGTTACACATTTCCACCAGAGAGGGCTCCAAATCCCCTAATCTTACACAGTGCAGCTTTAATTGTTTTATTAGAACGTCATTCTTGATGTTCTACAGCTCTCGCAGGCAGTTTAGAAACCTCTACAGCTCCGTTCATCATTCCTGGGCACATCTAACACCTCTTGATTTTAATTACAGCTTCATGCAGATGATCTGAAACCTGTGATTCCAAACCTTTGAACGTTGACCTGAGTCTCAGATAGTTATTCATACGGGAGTTCATGTGTCGAATGCTACAGCTGCTCTGAGTTAAAGAGCAGATTAGAGGCAGTTCGGTGAGTAAATATAATGTAAACACTGTCAGAGCTGGTGGGTGACATACAGTCGTGTGCAAAAGTTTTGGCGCCCCCGGTCAAATTCCATGTTTTTGTTGATTTTCTACACTCAAGAAAGACGATTCTTCAGGGGTTCTTTTGTAAAGACAGTGGCTCTATATAAAGAACCATTTCCATGCTTAAATGTTTTTTTTTCTAGATTGATGGAGAATGTGTTGGTATATATGGTTCTATATCACGAAAAAGGGTTCTGCTATTGTTTACGATGTCAAGCTTGTAACAACAGAAGAACGCTTTTTGGTGCTACATAGAACCGTTTTCAAAAAGGTGCTATGTAGAACCGTATACAACACATTTTCCATTAATCTGAATAACTATTTCACTATGCAGAAAACCATTTAAGCATGCACATGAGTGTTCATGGTTCTTTGTAGAACCTTTGAAGAACCATCTTTTCAAGAATGTAAGTGCAAATAAGTTACTCATCCTCCGCAGAGAACACACTCCTGCCCATAAAACCAAAGTCTGTGTATTTTCATACTAATAACAGTGACGTAAACGTCTCCTGAGTAGCTCAGAGATGTTCCGGCGCTCGGTTCTTCTTCTTCGCTGCTTTACAGTGAAGAAAGTGCTGCATTGAATTGACCTGATTCTCATCTGCACATCATTTCCACATCAATAACGTACAGTATATTACAGTAAACTCAGCTAAAGATGGTAAATACACACTAAAGGACTCCACATCAAAGCTCATATCTGTTGTGTTTTTGTGAGGCGTCACCAGGCTTCTAAATGTAAACATGTTATTAAACTGTATTAAATATAGTTTTTTATTTTGACGGTTGTTTTCAGGTGAAGTGGGACAGTTTGGCAGCAGAACTTGGGTGGTACTTAAAATCCACTTTTCTCAAATAATTATAGATTTTTGTGACAGTTCATATGTTTTTCATAGACCCACAATTCATCTTAAAAAAATACAAGAGAGGTTGTTTCTGTTTGATTTCTCCTCTTTATAAATCCTTATACATTAAAAATAACCCCTCTATGACAGTGCTAGTTTCTGCTAGCGCCCATATATGATTTCTAATGATATGTTAGCACTAAGCTAACGCTGGTGGCTGTTTCAGCTTTAACAAAGACATTTGAAACTTGTATCAGTCATTATCAGATATCTGA